CAGCTTTTGGATAGTGCACCTCGTTGAGGCGAAACACTGTACACTTCATCAACGGGGTATGTTGTGACAGAGGGACCCAGAATACTCCCCATCGCTGTCGTGCTTCAACTGTGCTCAGCAAAGGTTGCAGGAAAGGCGCTGCCAAATGAGAAGGGCAAGCTGCAGGCACACACTTGTTGCCTTGCGAATGATTGGAACCTAGCCGCTGGTGACTGGAAGAGAGATACTGTTTCTTTGTCCTTGCAAGGCTTCAATCCTTGGAGCTGTTGCGGGTGCTCACTTTGCACGCGCAGTGGCTCCGGCCTACGGCATCCCGGTCAGCCAACACTAGAATTGCTGGCAGCATGCGATCCGCAGATTCAACCATTTCAGCAGGACATCAGATTTGGCAATGTGTTGCCAGGTCCTCGTGCATTCGGACCACTGCGCAAAGAAGTTGTTGCCATGGTTTGACGGCACTGGCCTCTGCTTGTAAACTTTGTCCAACATTTGAAGCAGTTAAAACTAGACAACCAAGGTATGTTGGAGGCAGACGAGGCATACTTCAAGGAACATGGAGAGCCATTGTTCTCTTCTCACATGCTGGATTTGTCGGGCACAAAGTCAGTGCGCAGATAGCTTGAATCTGATGCATTTGTTCAATTTCACTGCAGTATACAGTGTGCAGACATGAAGGATCATGAATCATTAACCTTCTTTTTTGCTTCTCTACAGGTCCGAGGAGCCAGATGAGGAAAACATCGCGATTTGCGAGAAGCACCCGTCCCGCATTTGTGGGATTGGAGATGAAACCAGGAAATGGTCGAGTCTAAACTGTTGGTGTTGGGACATGGTCGTGATCCCGAATCGAAACCCGCTGCACGTGAAAAACTCTCTTGGAAAACACGCACCTTTTCTTCTGGTGACCTAGGGTCTTCGTTTGACCTTCTTTCGAGGTCTTGATGAAGCTCTCTCGCTCCATTCGAAAAGGGCTGCGAAAAACAGCACACATGAAAAGCTGTGTCATCCTTGCGCAGGGGTCATGCATCAACACTCCCCCTGTCTTCGCGGAAGACAACACATGATGCCATGCTCCTCACCACACGAGTACTCCAGGTCCAGGACCCTTCTTCCAACATGTGTGATGAGGGCAGGCCTTCCATCAGCTCAAGCCCTGCGGTTTGACAGCTTCTTCATCTGTCAGTTCAAAGGCCAACCAGGCCGTGTGGCAGCAAGACAAAACCAACAATGCCCATGCATTCGTTGAAAACAGTTGCCCTGTATCCTGCAAACCATCAGCCCAGTGTGCGTCCCTTTCCTTCGTTCTTTCCTCTTCTTCATCAAAGCCGTAATGCCAACAGGCATTTGCTTCACCACAATGGCCAAAATGGCCTTAGGAAGGTCGCCAAGCGCAACTAAAGGCGGCCCCCTTTTCTTCCCTTCCATCACTTTTCTTCACATATTGAGCTCCCGTTCCCGGAGCTCTTGCAGGCATCGAACACATGGGGCATACTTCTTTTTAGCTCCAGTTGAACATGCCGGTGGTCTGGCAGCATCCACATGGTAGATCTCGCCCCATCCACGAGACCAAAGGTGTTCACCCCTTCGGACATGGGCCATGTCGATGGTGAAGGCACAACGATGGCATGGAGGTGAGGTCCGGAGCACGGATGAGGTGAGCGTAGGGCAAGAAGTGAAGATATGGTACTTCTGCCCATACTTGGTGATGTAAACACCCATCCCTTGGTACCTCCGGCCTCCATCCCCGATTGGCGGTTCGCCATCACGCTGAAATGCCCTGGGGCATCCCCGATTGGCGGTTCGCCATCACGCTGAAATGCCCTGGGGCATGCCTTTGCAGCCGCTTCTGAAGGACCTGTTGGTCTCGGTTGAGGTGGTGTTGGATCCCATGCTTCATCGGCCATCATGTCACGGTAATCCCTCTCTGTAGGGTGGTAGAGAGTCTCATCCTCATTGGCCGGAGACTCTTGTGGTGGAACCTCGAGTGGTACTTCATGATCGCCAGCAGGAATCTCCTGCTCAGGCTCTTCTTGGATGCCAGTGAGCGTGACATCCGACTGAGGCTGGGAGGCTTGTCCGGATGAGCTCGAGGTCGGAGGTATGCCAGCCTGTGCCCTCTCTTCGGGAGTGAGAGAGGAAAGCCATCGCAGCAACCATTCACGGTTCTGCAATCCAAACTGGCTTCTCTCTTCAGCTGTCATGGGGCGCGCTGGACCATACGCCCAATCAACAGGTTCACCATCTTGAGGATCTCCTTTGCCCTGCCCTTTTCCTTTTCTCTTTCCTTTTGACCTGGCACTAGGCCTATTGACTTCCCGGCCTTGCCAGTCAACGGTGATGGAACTTCCCTGAGATTCCGACGTGGAACTACCAGGTGGCCCAAGTGCCGGGGGCTCATATTGTTGACCAGCAACCGCGTCACCATCATTGATAGCTGGTGCCAGCAACCAAGCACAGAAGCGCCTGAAAAGCAGGGTGGCCAAGATGACAAGGATGGTGTACAGCATCATGAACATTCGAAGCGGCTCAGAACCAGCTTGGTCAGAGGGATTCCCATCTTCCTCACTCTGATTTCCTTGGGCCCTTGATTTGGCGATGAGTGCCATAAGCACCGCCAGCTGCAACTGTCGGCCGCCGTAGTTCATCATCTTTTGCATTCCTTCATCTTCCTTTCTTCTTTCTTCGCTTACTGCCTCTGGGCCATCCTCCTTTTCTTCCTTTTCTTCACTTGTCGCCCCTGGGCCATCCTCCTTTTCTTCCTTTTCTTCACTTGTCGCCCCTGGGCCATCCTCCTTTTCTTTTCTTTCTTTACTTGTCGCCCCTGGGCCGTCCTCCTTTTCTTTTCTTTCTTCGTCCACCTTCTTCTGCAGGACCATGGACATCAATTCTTTCAGCTCCATAGTACGCTGACCCGAAAGGGGTTTCGTACCAAGGTTGGCAATCATGATGGCGCCAGGCATGTGTCTCACTCGCCAGTCGAGGTTGGTGATTCTCCAGCGAACATGTTGTGCCCTCAGCCTCAAATGTCTGGTGCGCCAGTTGGCATGGCCATCGGAGAAGAACCCAGTGGCCGCAAGGTTGTCGACAAAGAGGGTCTTCACGTAGGGTTCCTCATGCTCTTGGATCATGCTATCAACTGTTTCCGGCGACGCTGCAAAGCTTGAGTCCGTGTAGACCTCCAATGACTTTGGCCCTCCATCCCATCCTTCTCCCTTTCCAGGAGGAAACTCAAGTCCTTCATTGGGAGTTGACTTCAAGTACTTCCAGACTTGGGTGGCTTGTTCAATCACCCAGGATGGATGTGGCAGAATTTCTTGTGCGCATCGACTCGTAGCGAATGCTACATCGGGTCTTGTACGAGTTGACAACCACATCAGTTCGCCAACGAGCTTCTGGGCTGCATTGACCAACCCTGGAGTAGGCTCTTCTGGCATCGGAGCAGCATCCTTGGACATAGGGACCTTCATGTTCTTTGTATCTGGAATCCCTTCTTTGTCCTTGATGTAGTCTTCTTGCGATGCCCGATATCCTCCTTCGACTGTTTTGGTGATCTCCATGCCCAGGAACTTGACCTTCTCCTTTCCCACTTCTTCAGGTGTGGAGGTCTCCCATTGGGCCTGTAGAACTTGGATCACCTGGTCGACGGTCTTCTCATCACTTGTAACCATCAGGTCATCAACGTAGACCAATAGGAATCCAACCATCTTTTCTTCACATTCTTCATCTTCACCATCACCGAGCATGATGCTCCATAGATTAGGCTCAGCTTCGGCCTGGACAAAGCGATGTCCTTGTGGTGAGGTCAACTTCCTCAGCACCTGGTCACGGTAGACCCCGCAACAGCGCGGAGACTGGCGGAGACCGTACACAGCCTTTTGAGCCAGGTAGTAGTCCTTGGGCCCCACATGGCCCGTCTTCAGAAGAAGGGATGGTGGCTTCAATACCACCATGGTCGGCTCCTGACCTTCAGCTTCGATGTCCAGCGGCGCATTGAGGAAGGCTGTTCGAATGTCCAGCACTGATGCCTTCCAGCTCTCTTCAGCTGATCGCTTCAGGACGTAGCGAAGGCAAACGGCGTCCGCACCTGAGGCGTACAGGCATTGATCCTTCTGTTCCGCTGATGCTGGGTCAACGAAGTTGCCGCAAGCTACCAGTCTGATCTTTCTTCTTGGACCAGGCTTCAAGGTGATCACTACCTTCGAGGGCAGCACCTCCAACTTTCTGCCCCACTTTTCTTGAAGGGACTTGAACTCATCTTCATCGATCCGACGGAGAGCCTTTTTCTCCTCGAACAACTGGTGAAGCTCTTTCCGGATTGCTTCATCCCATTGTGGAGCTTCACGAAGGAGTTCTTTTGGGGAGACCACCCTGGTTCGAAGAACTGGTTCCTCCTCCTTGGGCATAGCGCTCTTAACCTTCTTCAGCTCCTCATAGACGACGTCCATGACTTTCATTTCATCCTTGAGCATGATCACGCTTTCCTCCAGGACGATGTTGGAGATCCTTTCCAGGTGTCGTTCTCTTTCCTCCTCAACCACTTCATATTGATCTTCTTCCAACTTCATACTTCTAGCTCCCATTTTTCCTCGGATCCTTCTTCTGATTTCATAGGGACCCTCAGCCTCCTCAGCGGCCTTTGTGACAGCCATCCAAGTTGATTGGCTCGGCTCAGGTTCCTGGGTCTTCATGATGAAGTACGGGACGATCGCCGTGGAGCCATTGTCTCTCAACACCAGGTGACCATGAGCATCGGGTCTTGGAGCGAGGTAGCGAACCTTCTCATGGGTTGCCTCCAATTCTTTTGTCTTCCAAAATCTTCTTTTGACCAGGAGCTCATGACCAAATGGCGGGACATCCCCCAGATCAAGATCGGCCATGCGTCTTCGCTCCCGCTCGTGGACATAGTGGCATGCTTGAGGCCATCGACCCGCCGGCATACCAGCCATGCCAAGAGCCCGACGGATGTGGGACTTCACTGTTTGGATCGCTCTTTCCGCACGCCCGTTGGACTGAGAAGAGACTCCCGCCGTTGTAGTGCGGTGGATGTCCCTTGAGCGACACCACTGGGTGAGGGATCTTCCTCTGAATTCTCCCCCGAGATCAGTGTGGAGCCTCGCCACGTGGTAGCCCATCACCCTGAGCTGGATGTACATTTGCTGGATCGTGGACAGCACCGTCTTCTGATCCTTAGAGGCCATCGGAATGGCGAGTCTGAAGGTGATCAGATCGGGGTTCTCTTTTTCTTCACCCACTTCAACTTCCTTCATCTCTTCACCTTGTTCGCCTTCTTCTGCCCCACCTTCTTCTTCATCACACTTTTCATTTCCTTCCTCCTCATCTTCTTCTTCAAGCAGCACTTCATCAGAGTCAGCCAGTTCATCATCAGGTACTGGCGGATGCTGTTCCTGAGGAAGAAGCCAGGTGTAGGTGCCAACGAGGATGTACTTCATCAAGTCCTTACCATCTTTGGCTACAGGATATGGACCAGCAGTGTCCAGTGATAACGTCGCTGCCAGTGGGTGTGTGACCTTTCGATGCGGTCGGGACTTAGCACTTTGCTCCTGGCAGATTCGACAATCTCTTCGGAAGGGCACGTGACCATTTTGACAGTGCTGCTCCCATGTCATCCTTTTTAGCTTCGGTTCCTCCTCCACAATTCCATTGATGTGGAGAGCACAGGCTTCAGCGACGGAACGACATAGTCCCGGAACCCAGCGAGCAAGTGAGGATGATGGAACCTTCTGACCTTCTCCTCTGCTCTTCGATCCAGGGTTTTTTCCTTTTGGTAAGCGGAGCTCCACATTGGCAGCCAGAGTTGTAGGCTTCACCGGAGCATCCTCCTTCCAGGGTTCATAATCTCCCTGGTTCAAGTGGTGGACTTGTAGATGAGCGGCACTCTGAAGCTTCTTCCATGGCTTCGTACTCCAGAAGGAGACACACGAGGGCATGTAGTCCTTAGGATCGGAAGGCTGCTCTAGCAGAAACATCACCTCCTCTCTTTTCTTCTTTTCTTCATCTTCGTCTGTTGAATCCTTCAACTTGGCAGCCATGTCCGCGACCAGGAAGAGAAAGATCTGACGCCACATCAGGACATCATCTTCTTGACACATAGCCATCTCTTCAGGGCTGTAGGCACTGATGCCCCATGGCTCCTCCCAGGATCTTACAGGCCTTGGACCACCAGGATAGTGTCGCAAAACTGATCGGGTACGACAGTTGGGTCCTCCAATCACCGCCGCCAAATCCCCATTCAACGCCAAACGAAGCAGGCCCTTGTAGGCCTTCGAGTCCAGGGATGCCATATCGTGATCATCACCCCTCTGTAGGTCCACCTCCAAGGTACGGCTTCCCAAGCCATGCTCTTCCATAGCCTTTTGCAGAGTGAATCCTTCGCGTTTTCCAGCATATAAATGCAGGATCACCGAACCAGCTGCCTTCAACCGCTTTCGTTGATGTCGGTTGGCAGGGAGGTCCTTCCACTCCCCCGGTTGTTGGACCAGGGCCTTCTTGACATGTTCGGGAAGTTCTGCCAAAGCTGGATGGCCTTCAACCAGCGACTTCATCCACTCCACCTCCCGTTCAGGGTGTACTTCACCCACCAAGCGAGCTTGCTTTACCTCCTGGGCACGATCCTCATACTCCTGGATGAGCTCGAGGGCCAGCTGCTTGGGGATCTGTGGACACCCCGCTTGGATGCTGATCGGCAGAGATCCTTTTGTGGGATGGGCGACTTTCATGCCATGTTTCTTCCATGAAATCTTGCATCCTCCTCCAGCCAGCATTCCAAGGGGTACTATTGGTTCCACTTGTAGATTTGTTGAAACCATCACCCCCGACTCAGTCATCAACAGAGGTGTGGTGCGGCCATCAGCCAAGGACACAGAGACCTTCTTGAACTTCTCGAGGCTGTCCGTAGACGTAAGAGGCCTCAGGGGATGCGTAGCACCAGAGTCCAAAAGTCCCCATTCTTCTTCTTGCAAAGACCCCATCTTCGCTTCGCGAACGCGGGTCAGCTTCAGGGTTTTGATGCTTTTCTTGATCTCATCGAGCTGCTGATGCAATCTGCTCAGCTTGGCTTCCGAAGCTTCCTTGTCCTTCATCGCCTTGAGCATCTTGTTTGCCTCAGCGAGAAGTTCATCCATCTTTTCATCATCTTGACCTCCACTTCCTTTTCCTCCTTCCTCGCCTTTTGGATCCTTCTCTTCTTCTTTCTCTTTCTTAACCTTTGGTGGCGAGTTGGGAGCAGTTCCACCTGAGTTCTCCTTCGTAGGGCAGGTCGGAGCTAGGTGTTTCGTGGAGCCACATAGGTAACACCTTTTCTGTTCATCCTTTTGGTCATGCGACCATTTGCAATCACGGCCACGACGACATCCGGCCTCGCTGAGGAAGAACTTGCACGGCAGCTTGACTTCCATCTCCTTCAGCTTGCCTTCACCCCCTTTGGCCTTTCTGTTGATCTCCTCCATCTTCTTTACTTTACTTTCCTCCTTCTTCGTAGTTGCACCACTTCGCTTCTCAGCCAAGGAGAGCTGTTCGATCTCGGCAATGAGATGGGTTGCGAACTGGCTGACCGAGAGCGCATTGGGATTGGTGTCAACTTGGAGGGCATTCCGAGCAAGAGACACCCGGAACCGTAGGCTTTCATTGCCATCCAAAACTCGCTTCGTCAAGCGATTCAGACCCTTGACCAGGATGGACGGGTCGGGTTCGGTGGCTCCAATCTCCTGAGCCCTTGCGCGCCAGCGAAGCCATCGACGGAGGCCAACCACCGTGTCGTGCAGATTTCCTGGTTCCGTTGGATCTTCAAGGTTCCGCAGGAGCATTTGTTTCTCGCTTATGCCACCAGGACAGTAGGTGACGTGAAGATGGGCGAGGATGGCGAACACGGACAACCTTTTTGTAGCCACCAGTTCATCTTTCTGAACTTCTGGAATTGCCTTCAGCAACAGGGTGGCCATTCGCCGTTCGAGCTTCGCCCATTTCGGAACACTGAGTGATGATGGAGGCACAGGCTCATGCTTGACCCGTTCCAAAGGAGCCATTGCTTGGTGGTCCTGGTACCACTTCTCAACCTCAGTCATCATTCGATCCCACCAGATGTCAGAGGTGGTCGTCAGGTCAGCCACCACAGGCTGAACAAGGAGCAGCCAATCACCAAGCTGCAGCTGCGAGGTGGAACCATGTAGAGGATGTAGAACAGGTAGTTCAGCCACCTGCCGGACAATCTCCACCCCCTTCACCGTTCCTTGAGCTTCTTGTCCCTCGGAGATCTGTCGTTGGAGGGACTTCATACTTTCCACCAAAAGTGTCATCACTTCCATCTGTTGAACTTCAGGGGGCAATTTGGCTCCCCCGGTTGTAGGTCTAGGCCCCTTCATTTCCCCTTTTCCATAGGATGGACTTCGACCCTTTCTCTGTTGTTCTTTGGAGCGGGACCTGGAACCTTTGACCCCATAGCGAGCCGGGTAGGTCGACCACGGTGTGCGTCCTCGGGCATGTAGGTCGTCGGCTCCTGGAATCCCATTCGGTCCCTCTTCATCAGGGGTGTTGAAGTTGGAGGCACTTCTTGGCCTTTCCGTTTCTTCTCTTTCCTTTTTCTTCTTTTCCTCAACCTCCAACCTCTTTCGGTCTTCCCCCTCAATCCTCCATTCATAGAGCTCTTGCTGGAGGCGATCATTTTCACGTTGTTGGGCCTGGCAAAGGTCAGTGAGCCGTTGCGCATCCTGTGAGATCTGCCAGCGCCACATGATTTCTTCCTCTTGGTCTTCCCGTTCTTGATCGCGACGGGTCCTTCGAGGATCGTTGGAGCTCTCCTCACATCTTCTCAGCTCCTCACTTTCTTCTTCTTCCATCTCCACCACCCTTCTATACCCTTCTTTCTTACCTCCTCTCTTTCATTCCCTTCTTTCTTCTTCTTCTTCTTCCAGGAAGGCAGGGCGAGACACCTGAGTAGGCCGATCATCACCTGAAGAGGACGGCATCAAACCTGGGCCAAAGAGCTGGGGAGCAAGTCGAGCCGATGCCTTAGCTTCTCGGATCTGTTCCTGAGTGAACAGGGGCTTCATGACCTGCGGTGCTGGTGGTGTCAAGGGAGCAAGAGTTGTAGGCATCCCTCTTGGAGCTTCGACCACACTTTCTTTTGACCCACCACTCTTAAACACCTCCATTTCAGTCCTCCCTGTTCCGGTGTTCCCCGGCCCTGTTGTCGAGCGAGCCGGGGTGCTGAACTCCTTCTTTTCATCTTCTTCCTTCTTTTCATCACCATCCACAGCCGCAGCTTCTTGCTTCGGCACCAGCTCATCGCTTCGCGGCTCAGCAGCAGGTGGCGGCAAGGCCAGGCGTCCATCGTCAGGCTCCATGGTTCGTCGCCGTCGGAGCATGGGCGGGTGATGAAGGGAAGTAGATTTAGCAGTTGGGCTCATAACCTGTTGGTGTTGGGACATGGTCGTGATCCCGAATCGAAACCCGCTGCACGTGAAAAACTCTCTTGGAAAACACGCACCTTTTCTTCTGGTGACCTAGGGTCTTCGTTTGACCTTCTTTCGAGGTCTTGATGAAGCTCTCTCGCTCCATTCGAAAAGGGCTGCGAAAAACAGCACACATGAAAAGCTGTGTCATCCGTGCGCAGGGGTCATGCATCAACATAAACAATACCTCCTCGAGAGCTGTACTTTATTAAAATGTTTGAAGTTTTCTTTTTAATGGGGAATTACTTGACTGGCCTGTGAGGTATTTGAAGCGCATGGCCCCCATGAAGCTTATTCTGGCAGCTCGGCTCCATGCCAGTTCAATGGTGGGCCTTGCTATGCCATGAATGCTTCTGCTCACAAAGCAGACCTGTTGCTTTGCTTCAGGAGATGGAGATCGGGATCACAGGTGGCGTTGAGGATGGTGTCGACAACAGCGGAGCTGCTAAGGAGTGCTTTTGAGTCCTCCTTTTGCTTTGATGCCCTAGCTTCAAGTGAGAAACTGCATGTCTTGAGACCAAGCATGACAAGGAGAAGCTGTATTCCACGCCACAAGATGTGTTCGCCGTCTACAAGGGCCTCAACCCAATTTCTCCCATGTCCGCGCCCAAGCTCTCAGGCATTGTTTGCAAATGGCAGACCATCTCCGGTGGGATGTAGGTTTACCATTGCGGCAGCCTTCGGCAATGTCCACGGAGTTTACAAGGTGCACCACTCACCATCCCCGACGTGTGATGTTTTTGACTGAAAACTGGCGGTGCACGCGAGGCTGGCAACGTCGTTCTGAAGCCAGAGATTCTGCAGGACCTGGTGATCTCGGAGTGATTTCAATTATCAAAGATGTTGGTAAAGCGGTAAAACTGGATGTTGAGGTTCAGAGCCCTGAGAGCCCTGATTTGTGAAGGACATGCAGGACTATGCAAGGGAGCAGATCAAGGCATCCACTGGCAAGGACATCGAGAGGCAGATAGCTGGAAATTGAAGGGGCTTTGTCGGGCTGTTCGGGTGAGGCAAGCTACATGAGCAACCACTGTTATTTATATAGGCTCTACTAAAGTAGTCTACAGCATGCTCTATTTGCTTGCCTTTCATCAGTGTTCGCTTGTGAACGAGATACGGCTAAACGAGATACTTTTGCTTGATGACACCAAAGTAGTCTGAACGAGATAGTGTGACATGACCTCCTACTTATATAAGTAGTCTAAACGAGGATAGGGCCCCCACAAAATAGATAGTGATATTGTCTTTGAGTTTAGTACCAAATAAATGCCGCTGCACACATAGTGGTGTAGGCGTGTGTAGACATCATGGAAATAATATTCTTTTGACATAGAAGCCTGGCGTAGGCGCCAGGCATGATCAGACTTGCCAGAGATGAAGAGCCCGAATGAGCAGTTGAGCTGTGTGCCAATCCCGGTCCATTGCGTCGGGAGGGAAGGTCAGGAAAGTACGAACGGAGCTGCAAAGCTACCCGAAATCGACCGGAGCAGCAGAGCTGCGGGAAACTACTCGTCACGAGGCCCCGCTTGCGAGCCCACGTTTGACGGACTTTGCGAGTCCGATTGACAAGTGGCTGGATTGACCTTCAGTGGATGGGTCAGCACGTGCAGCGGGAGTGGTGCACCATCAATTTCACATTTACGGTTGGGTGGGAAGGGTGGGGTTCAGGCTTTGGGGCTTATGCACCTTCCCCTTTTTGCAAGACTGCCCTTGAGACCTTGTGCAAGGACCTTCTGCAAGACCCCTCGCGAGATCCCTCCTCCCCAACTCTTCACTGTTCTTTCTACTGAGGCTTGAACTTGAGTGGTTTCTTTTCACACCTGTGCGCCACACTTGCTGCAATGGCAAAAGGCAGGAAACACCAACCCTTTGGAGTTTCTTTGAAAAAAAGGCTGCCAACTCAGAAGCTTAGCGACTTGGTCCATGCTCAGGTGCTGTGCATGGTTAAAGGGAGTCAGGGACAGTGTGCAGGCGCAAGCATGGCCAAGCCTACGGAAGCTGATGCACACATGCTTGCGTTCGCATGTAGGCATCACCCTTAGAAGCATGTAGCCAAGCAGGGGCCGCAGGGGCGCTTGAATTTTAGAAGCGCCAATGACTGTGGACGGCCTTCACAAAAGCAGCAGCCACCTGATTTAGTACCGCAGGTCCTTCTTGGACACATCATTACTCACAAGCCCTTTATGACTACGAGGTGTCATGTTGACTTCGCAAAGTCTCGCTCCTATGCCAAGCTGCAAGTAGGGTGGTGAGTGGTGATGACACAGGATGATACCATTCATGTATTGAAAGCAGTCGACGTTTTTGAACTTTGCTCAGTGAAGCTCAGATGTTTTTTGTGTGAATTGAAACAAACTTCCGTTTATTCTTCATCTTCTCAGAGAGCAGCTTCAATGGATCAGTCGGGAAGTACGTCATAAACAACCTGGGTGGACACAGAGGCTGCCTTGCTGCGCGTACGAGATGCTTGTGGCGTCAGGTTGCCAACGGTGCTGAAGAGGGGAAGAGGCTGTGCTATTCAAAGTGGTGTCGTGCAAACAACATTGAGTGGCCTGTGCCCGAAAAGGTCATCATGCGCTACCTGGCCGTCACGCAAAAGGAAGCAAGAAGCAACTTCATTGGCAAGAGCCTTGCGCGCGTCTTGAAGTTTACAAAGTATGTGATGGGGTTTGACCTTGACTTGGGCAGCATCCTTGGCCCCATCATCACAGGAAAGATGAGCAGAATCCTGGCCGCAGGAGAACCAACGGAGCAGCCGCGACCATTGAGTGTTGAAGAGGTCAAGCGACTCGATACCATGCTGGCCTTCCCGCCCAACAAGTTGGACCGGTACTTTGTCGGTTGCTTGTTGCTTGCTTTGTACTCTAGGTCATGATGGAGTGATTTGAGCGACATCCGCACCTTCTTCTTTCGCATGGTCGGGGCTGAGGCTGGACGGTACGGTTATGTTGAGGCGAGGACTCGAACGCACAAGTCCTTTTCATCAGTGGAGAGTCAGTTTCCAGCCGGACAAAACCAGGTCTGGCTGGATGAGAAAACATCAGGCTAAGTATGACGCAAACTTCGAGGACAGGTAGACTGCAACAAATTCAGCAGCTCCCGACGACTGTGAACCTTCTGTCGCAAAAGAAAATTGCGGACGCCCCAGCGCTGCCAACCTTCGACTCGAACAATCCGTTCCAGAGGCCTTTGCAGACTGGGGCGAGAGTGACGCGCTGGCGCCTCACGTAGAAGAAGAAGTGATGAAAGGTCGATCTTTGAGTCTTCGCCCTGGCCAAAGCCCAAGCGGATCCGAACTCAGATCCATGGCCGAACGGTGCAAAGAACGCGCGTTGCAGGGATGAGGCTTGAGGAACTGTATGATGTGATCAATGGCGCGCTTGAGAGCGACGCCCTGAAGCGCTTGGGAGTGTGCAGGTGCATCGCGCGGATGCAGATCACCATGACCAACCCGCCCAAGGAAATTGAAATTGGACGCCTCGAGTCCTAGCGAACCCCCATGTCAAAAGGAGAGTCAGCTGTGCCAGTGTTCAGTGAATCTCATTGTGTTTTTCAGGGTGCGTGAGAAATGGATTGCGTAGCAGAAATAGTGGAAGCGGTCGACGTGGTTGACAATGAACTTATTTCAGTGAAGCTCAGATGTTTCTGTGTGAGCTGAAACAAAACTGATCCAATTTGAGCCGTTTATTTTTCACTAGCTCAGCTGAAGGGTAGAGCTGGGTGGGACACTTCACTGCTTCCGTTCCCACAAGCTGGCCCAGCCGCAGAGTTTCTCGCCAGAGTTCGACGTCTACCGCCTGGCGAAATATCAAGAACGAGCGCGCTTCTGCATCTGCGCTGCAGACAATGTCCTGGACGGCTTGCGCTCTTTTCATTTTCGCAATGCCAATTTGGCGCAGAGACTGGATTTTGCGCGAACCGCGTTCGTTGAATTTTAGCGCCGCTTGTTAGCCCATGAAAGCCGGCAAGCGCAAGATGCCGTAGTAAACGCCTACGCAATCCGGCATTGGCATCCCTGGTGGTGCTTGCCTATGAGAAGCCTGTGACATTCCCCGATGTCAAGAACAGAGTCAGCTGCGCAAGTGCTCAGTGAATCTCACTGTGTTTATTAGAGTAACAGCAATGAAAAAACTATATCAAACAAGTGGCTGGCCTTGGGGATCACCGTATCTGGCCAAGATTGCCTTTCTGTTGGTGACAAGGCTAAGGCGCAAGGGAGCAGATGGTTCCAAAACTAACGTTTTGCAGGAAGAACAACCAGGGCCGAAGCTGGCAGTCGCGTTGCGAATAGCCGCTGCAAGCGCAGGTGCTTTCAATATTTGAGTTAGATCATACGAATGTGCAACTGCCCAGCCAGGCATTAGCCTCTTTTCAGGCACTTTGGGGAAGGAAACACGAGTACGCAAAATGGAACATAGAAACACGTGTTACCGCCATAGCCAAAATTCACTGGAGTCCTACTTCATATGTGAACAGACACACGGACATAAACAAACACGCACACAGGAAATTAATTGAGGGGTGGAGTCACTGTATGGATTACATTTTGTGAGTAGATTTGCCTAGAAATTAACTGACGGGCATGTGTAGGGTGGTTGTCAATTAGTTTTCAGTGCTTGAGTGACCCCCCTCAATCAATTCCCTGGTTGAGGGTTGGTCAACAGTAGACACCGCCTCAATTAATTGTGAGAATGCTATGTGGTTGTACAGCCAACCCACCTCCAATTGATATGTCAGCAAAACTCAGAATTTAAGTCATGATGATTTTTGATGAGTTTGTGTCCTTGCTGCTGCTGTTTTGCCTGCAGCCAGCGGAATCAAGAGTGATAATGGCCTGTCAATCCCTGTCACCCCCTCACTCATGTCCTGTGAAGTAATTAGTTATATGTATATATAATTGGGGGTGGGTCGACTGGTGACCCACCACACAATTTCTGGTGCCACCTCACAAATTTTGGCCCCCGCCACACAATTTCTTGTGAACATAAATAATTGGGGGGTGGGTCGACTGGTCACCCACCACACAATTACTGGTGCCACCTCACAGTTTCTGGCCCCCACCACACAATTTCTTGTGAAAATACCTATTTGGGGGGTAGGTCGACTGGTCATCCCCCCCACACACACACAATTTCAGTGGAACATATATAATTGGGGGTGGTGCCACCGGAAAACGCTCCAGACAGTGGAAAATATATAATTGGGGGTGGTGTCACCGGAAAACGCTCCAGACAATCCAGGCAAATGGAGATGTGTTTTTTTGTTTAGAAACGGGCCCCCAGCAGACTATGGTGATACAGCAAGGCAGTGCTAGATTGGTGCTAGGTTTCTTCATAACACGCACTGTGATCCACGTTGATTTCTGATGACTCATGTTGTCAATTGTCGTTTGAAAAATCGTTGAGGATAAGTGGACATTAATTCAGCAGTATGACAGTGTCTCAAGTAGATATGGGGTGGAGTGGGTGTACCCACCCCAAATTGATCTAAAATTAATCAAAGGTGGTGGGACATGGAGGTGGTCTAAGGTAGTGGTCATTTCACAAAACATATGAAACAATCCCTTCTTTAGGAATGCACGAGCAGATGTCCCGAATGCTAGACACTGGACATGTTTGGACTCTTGTGACATGACCTGGCTAAGAGGTGACAACTTCAAAGCCTTCATTCACGCCTCTCCTCATAAACGTTTTTTACTGTCAACTGAGAACGCGCTATTTTCAAGTCAGACACTCTTGCAAAGTGTAGTGGAGAACAGGAGCATTGCTTGGGCTCGTACGAAACAAATCTGCGCACTGGACGCTCAGACCAATGTGTCGTGATTCCAGACAGCCGCACAGCTGCACGGACGCGCAGAGCAACAAGATCGTCCGACCGCCAGGCCACTGAATTTTGTGTTCCACGGTGGTTCTGGATCTGAAAAGCACCATATCGCCACTGCCGGGGTCTCAGGGTTTCAGTTGCACAAGAAAAGAAAAGTGGTGAACACATGTGCACATTGAAGGGCTCAAGATCATCAATGTACATTGTACATGATTGAATTGAGAGGCATTGAATGCTGGCGTTGTGAAGATGAATGTGGACACTGACACGTAAAGATCTCAATACGAAAGCATCTCTTGACGGCTTGTGTTTGCTGCCTTGGCTAGGCAGTGGGCCTACTGGGAAGGCTTGCTGAAGTTCTACAAATCCAAGGAGGGTGCGTTTCTCAGAATGGAATTGAATGCACACACGGAGTGATAGAGAGCGACACTGAGGTTACTTGCAAGGTCAGATTGGCAATCCAGAAGGTGAGGACAAGCCGAACAAGAGCTGCCCGGCATGCATTGGCTTTGAATTCTGGGTGGTTGAGAGACGTTGTGTTGACGACCCACAACAACAGCTCTTTTGGTAACACAGATGATATACCAAGCCGCCTGAGCATCTTCGAGGTTTGTGGGCCCGCATGAGTACGTCACAAACCATGAGAGATTCTCCTGAGTTAGGCTACTATGACCCTCGCAAATGGATCCGCGAGTGCGAAGTGACCATGGTCAAGCGTGTGAAGGACGGACTGCAGTGGTCCATCAGAGCTCGACAATCGACAATTGCCTAATATTGCCAAATTGCATGGTGACAGGAGAGCTGCACGGACCTTTCGACCCTTGACTTTTAAAGGTTTTTCAATACTTTTGACATTTGTAGCAAAGACCTTTTAAAGCGTCCCAGCAGTTTGCCAAACTTGACTCTTGTAGCTGAGGAATGTGAACGCCTAACTCCTGTGAGTGGGATGCATGATTTGCAATTCCGCGGGCGTTCGACAAGGCATATGTTTGAAACTTCACCTTCAGATTGCCCAGTTTGATACTTTTGATTGAACTTTCAGTCGCCCATGACCTATACTTTTTAACCGCCCATGGTTTTCGATTGGCTCAGCGATGCGCTGGTGCTGCCAAGCTGTGAAGGAAGCTTGATTGATTTTTGCTAGCTTATTTGCCTTGAAAGCTTGGTTTGCACCTATTGCGGCACCTAGTGCACCTTTGGGCAAAGATTCTGTCCGAATAAAGCGGACATCAAAGTTCCCCAATCCTTGGAGCCGCTCTCAGCGTTGCGAGGGTTCTAGGACCGTCAAGAAAAGGGGCGTTCTCCAAACAAAGCCACAGTAAGAGGCCCACCTCATGGCGCTTTCCTGTTCAAAACTACCAAAGAATAGGCCCAAGCCTTTTATGCACCAAGAGTCGCCAAGAAAAAAACATACAGACTCAAGCTGCATTCAACTGCGTGACAGCTGTTGCGCTACGATGTGTAGCTGCTTTGGCTGACAAGACAACATTGCTGCTTAGCGGTTCCCTACGTGACCCTTGCAGAAATATGTCGTTGCTTGTCAGCAATCGGAGGAGGTATGTCCAAACAGCTAGCACTTCATTTTGTCTAACTGAGGTTCTGGGAGATTCCGGGTATGAAGGTGGGAAGAGCACAACATCTCGTAAAATCTCATCACTATGGCAGCCCTTCAGATTTCAGGCTGGCGTGGTAACTGGAGACCTCGCATGGTCCCTGCTGCAGCATGCCAAGGCAGATTGGCTTTCAGCATGACCATGAGTCCATACGTGCTTTTCTTTTTCATTTTATAAATATTACCACATTCTTTCTTTGTTCTAGGAGCATAAGTATGCAATTCCGGCCTTCAACTGCACAAGCCAAGGGCCTAAATGTCTGGTCAAGGATTTTGCGATCTGAACTTTGGAGTTCTGCAAGACTGAGGCTCCAGCACCATCAACTCAGTTCTTGAAGCGGGCAAGGACTCTGATTGACTTATGACTCATATATGGGTTACGTACGCGGTTGTAAAAACGAAACGGACCCGAAACTCTTTCATCCGCAGTGTGTTTGGCTTCAGCTATGCCAGGAGGTCCCCCTGGTCAGGGGGGACCGCATCCACCTGCGGAGTGCAACTGCCCGCTGTGCGTTGTATTCCGTAAGGTGGCTTCCCTGGTGTTCGGGGCCAACTCAACACAGGTCCTACGTGATCGCACTCGACCGTATATCGAGGGGCTGTACACTCAGCTTTTGGAAATCGCCCTGGAGGTTCAGGGCAGTTCGGCTTCCCGTACTGGTGGAGCTGGACAAGGTGGGGAAGCGAGGCCCGGAGGCCCACCGCTTCCCTCGTCGGCCCCGGAGCCGGCTGAAGATACACGTGGAGGAGGCGATCCTGGACAGACCGTTGCGGCTCCCGGTGGATCGGGAGTAAAGGAGGAAGAAGAGAGCTCACCCGTCAAGGAGGGCGGAGGAAAGGTTGAGGTGGCAGCCGCGCCGCCTGTTACCTCTGCTTCGGAAGGCCCGGACGGTGAAGGTGCTACCTCGGCTGGGTCACGGCCAGAGGTTGAGGCGGAGGAGAACGAAGAGCCCCCAGCGAAGAACAAGCGGCGACCCCCCGCTCCCCCGGCAAAGGCGGGGGGGTTACGAAGGGGAAGACAGTTCAAGGCGCAGGAGGAGGCGTGACAGATCTCGGAGGCGCAGGCGTGACGCGTCGTCCAGCAAGGAGCTGCATCCCAAGGCGGCGCCAAGCACCAAGCGGCCAAGGACTCCCTCCCATAGTCCGCCCAGTGTCCATACCCCTGAGGACCAGTCATCCAGTGCAGGAGAGGCCAGGTCGTCAGCCGCTCGTTTTCGGGGAACATCCCTGGAGCTGGCAGAAGAGGCGCCGGGCGACACCACCGCTCATACACCACCCGCAGCCGAGGAGACCGAGCAGGAGGAGATTGAACTCCCGGAAGAGGAGCCCGAGTTGGAGGAGCCGGAGCCGAGCCCCCCTCGAGAGAAGGGCAAAGGAAAGAAGGGAAAAGGCAAGGGCAAAGGATCCAAAGGCAAAAAGGGCCAGAAGTCCAAGCCCAAGAAACGTAATCGAGGGCTCAAGAAGGTGCAGCGGAACATCGACTTCTACGACAACAAGCGCCGTGATCCCACATGGCGCCGAAGCGCGCAATGAGGAGACCAGCCGGGGGCCCAGAGAGGCCTCGTGTGAGGAGAAGGCCAGCCGCTGCCGGCCCGCCCGATGGAGGCTGGGAGAAGGCCTCAGAGGTGAACATTTGGGAGTTGAACTCCTGGCCGGCGATATACATACAGGGGCAGTATTGGGACAACGATGCAGAGGTGATCGGAGAGATGAAGTCCCTGGCGGTCGGGGACGATGGCACGATGTTGACCGTGAAGGCCCATGGGACGACGTCGGAGGAGCTACTGCGGTTGCTGTCAGGCCGGGCTTCGAAGGTATTGCAAGTCCACCTTTGCGACGAACCATGCAGTCACCTGGTTTGGAAAGAAGGGCTGATTCATGCGCAGCGGCTCAAGAGGTGTCAATTCGAGGATCATCCATGGAGCCGGAATGCCGAAGTCAGCGTGCGAGAGGCAGAACGGGACGAGATGGAGGTGCTGCGGAAGGAAGCGGCCGAGCGGGGCAAGGGAGTTGGCGCTGGCCTGGGAGCTCCTGGGGCAGCCGCGGAGGAGGCGGCGCGGGAGGCTCCAAAAGAAGAGAAGGAGGCCTCAAGCAAGAAGAAAAAGAAGAAGAAGAAGAAGGCAAAAGAGCGCATGACTCCCGTCAAATCCCTGGAGGCCATATTCGGCACAACCGGCCTCGACCCCAAGGAGGAGGTCCGCCGGAAGCTCCGGAGGAAGGCCAAGCATTTGAGCCGCAAGGCCAGGAGTCGCAAGAGTTCATCAAACTCCAGTTCAAGCGACTCTTCCTCGGGCAGCTCAACGATGGAGGAAGGACCGACCGAGGAGCTGTTCTCACCGGTCTCGGCGCCGCAGAGGATTTGGAGGAGGTTTCCAGGCGTCCTTACATCGACGATGATTCTCGAGGCGCAAAGAGTTATGCTGCTACAACTCGGTGCCGGTCTCCACGAAGCCGAGACCCGGAGCTTGCGGCCAATCGTGAGCCAATATTGCAGGCAACATCTCATGGCGAGTATGGCGCCACCTGTGGCGCGAGAAGCGTTGCATTGGTCTGCAGTCCTCGACCTCATCTTAGAGGGCCGTGTGGCCAGTGCAATGGACGTCATGACTCAGCGCCTCAAAAGTTTGGAAGGGCTGAGCAAATCTATGAGGCCAGATCTTCTTCGTCAACTCGAGTTACTGCCCCTGGATCGCGGGGGCCTGGCGACGTCCTCAGAAGTCCAGATGGCGGGCCAGGCTGCGAACCACGAAGCGAAGGTCTTGCAGAAGTCGACCACCAGGCCTTGGGAGGAGAGGCAAAAAGGAAAAGAGAAGGGAGAGAAGGGCAAATGGAAGAGCAGCAAGGGCGACAACAAGACCAACGAGTTCGACAAGAGCAAGAAGGAGAAGGGGGACGGAAAGAAAAAGCCGTGACTGGCTACAGCAGCGGGGGTCCCCGGGATGGCGGGATCGCTCTCTCGGTAGAGGCCCCTGGAAACTATGAGAAGGGAAAGTGCACGAGGTTGGCCCACTTTGCTCTATCTAGTGGTGAACGGGGTCATGAATTCGATAGCCCTGGAAAGGTGGCGACGCTGAATGATGGTGAGCCGCTGGACCTTACAGCATTCAATTCTCCGGAGGGAGGTGCAAAGCTGATGACAGAGGAGGCTGAACCTGACGAAGCTCATGTTTCAGAGGACTCTACAATCCGTGGTATCTTCAAGAGGGCAGTTGAGGTGTTGAGACAGGACGGGCGCCTACAATCACGACGCTCCAACACGGAATTCGACCTTGGCTCGCAGTGCCCACCGTTTCCGCTGCGGATTCGAACGGAGGGCTGGGGCAAGAGGTTGAATTTCCCTCACCTGCCTCATTTCGATGAACTGGTGAATGGCACGATGGCGGCGCTCAATCATTTGGCTGGATTCGAGGGCACCCTGACGCCATCATCGGAGGACCACACTTCGTCGGCGGCATCTCCTGAGACCAGCGTTCGAGCGCTAGCGGAAAAAAGGCTAGCGGCACTCGTCGTTCGCAATCACATGTGGGAGGTTCCTGAGAGTTCTTTGTCTTTTAGTGATTTTTTCTCGAGGCGAAAGGTTGATTATTGTGGGGAGGAGGTGAAACTGGCTCAAAGTGTTTCATGGGCAGCTGTGAGTGAGTCGCTTCCGGAAGGTGTAGGAAGCTTGCCACTTTCAGATTTTTGCACTTTGGGCACGAAGGGTTATGTTGATGATTTCGAACGTTATCTGTTGCCATCAGACGCCCAGGTGAGGGTCAAACCCCCCCGGGTCATGATTGGTGAAGGGGAGTGGCCTGATGTGTGCAGTGGCCTGATAGCGAAGCGGGTCTGTGAGGTGTGGCCCATCTCTCAACTCCATCATATTGATGGAGCGCCTTTGCTGAACGGAATGTTTGCAGTAGGTAAGGGCGAATTCAAGGCTGGAATTGAGACCCAACGCCTTATTATGAATTTGGTGCCAGTCAACCAACTCTGCAAACCCCTACAAGGCGACGTGGGGACTCTCCCTGCGGTCTCGGGCCTTAGCGGGTTTCTCCTGGGGTCGGGGGAAGTCGTTCTCCTTTCTTCAGAAGACATCAAGCGTTTCTTCTACCTATTCTCGATTCCAACACCCTGGAAGAAATACATGGGCTTCAACAAGATTGTACCTCCTGAGTTGGTTCCCCCCGAACTGAGGGGCCAGACCTGCGTGCTGGTAGCACGTGTGTTGCCTATGGGGTTCCTGAACTCCGTCAGCATCGCCCAACACATCCACCGGAATGTGGTTCGGTGGGCAGCGATGGCAGGCAGTCCGCCCGTGGGAGCTGAAGGAGAACTACGAAAGGACCGGGTCATGAGCTCGGCGGCGGAGTTGTACAGGGTGTATCTCGACAACTTTGATGCCCTGGAGCGAGTTGATGCCAACTTAGCGGGGCAGATAAAAGGTACAGTCAAGCCACAGGTCGAAGCACTTCGTGACATGTACGCGGAGCAGGGGCTACCTCGTCACCCGAAGAAGGCCGCTGAGAGGGTGACGGTGGGAGAGTTGCAAGGCGCTCTCCTGGATGGGGAGGCAGGATTTGTCATGCCGAAGCCGCAGAAGGTTATCCAGTACTGCAAGTTGGGTTTTGAGCTCCTGGTGAGGGGGCAGTCCACATTGCGCGAGCTCCAGGTGGTCTGTGGGGGCTTCGTCTATCTGGCTATGTTCCGTCGACAACTGCTGGGCTCCTTGAACGAAGTCTTCGAGCACATGAAGCGTTTCGAGGGGGAGGCCCCGGTCGTGCGTCTTGGACTCCCTTATCAGGTCAAGATGGAGATTGCCAGGTTTATTCTATTGACTCCGCTTGCCCAAATGGACTTCCGCTCACCTGTGGACGGTGAGGTGTCTTGCTCTGACGCTTCCACCCTAGGAGGCGGTCTCTGCGCTTCCAAGGGGTTGACCAGTTATGGCATGAGTGCAGTCGGTTGCCCGGCGAGGGGAGATCTCCCAGAAGAGCATGACTTGGTGCAGGTGCTGTCCGTGGGATTGTTTGACGGTATCGCTGCCCTGCGAGTTGCGTGTGACGTTTTGGGGTTGCCTATGGCCGGCCACGTGAGCATCGAGAAGGAGGGAAAGTGTAGGCGTGTGGTTGAAAGTTTCTTCCCTGACACGGAGTTCTTCGAGGATGTACGTGATTTCAGTGAAGAGCAGGTCAAGGCCCTAGCCCTGAAATATAGCAACGTAGGGCTGATCATTGTGGGCGCCGGACCCCCTTGTCAAGGAGTGAGTGGGCTAAACGCCGATCGTTTGGGCGCACTCCGGGACGAGAGGAGTTGTCTGTTCCAGGAGGTCCCCAGGATCACAGCACTGCTGAGGAAGGAGTTTTATTGGGCCCAGGTGCATGAACTGGTCGAAAATGTAGCCTCCATGTCGAGCACAGACAGGGCTATTATGAGCAGGGCTTTTGGGCGAACCCCCCATAGGGTGGATGCAAAAGGCATGTCTTTGTGCGCGCGGCCGAGGCTATATTGGACTACATGGGAGTGCTATGAGAGCCCTGGTGTCTCCTGGCATGAGGGAGACGATGAAGGCTGGGAAGCCTATGACACAGCAGTATTGGAAGCTCAAGTGGACAGCAAGGCGCTGCTGCTCCCGGGCTGGAGTCTGCAGGAAGGCTGTCACCTGCCGACCTTTACCACCTCGAGGCCGAGGGATTCTCCTGGTCGAAGGCCTGCGGGAGTTGAGCAGTGCGCTGAGCATGAGCTTCAACGGTGGTATGAGGACTACTACAGGTTCCCCCCGTACCAATACCGTGACAGCTACGGCCTGTGGGATAAAAAAGGCACCTGGAGGAGGCCTTCGGCTCAAGAACGGGAAGCCTGCATGGGCTTCCCCATCAATTACACTCGACATTGCGTGGTGAAGTCTGAGCAACAAGGCCAAGCTTATGAAGACGCCCGAATGACCATGATCGGCAACAGTTGGCATGTTGGTGTCGTCTCGGTGTTGCTCAGTCAGCTTACTCAACCACTAGGCTTGGGGCCAAAAATGTCAGTGCAGGATATTGTAAACAATACCACTCCTGGTCAAGCGCGGGAGTTTCCGTCTATGTTGATGAGACCGCCCCATGAGGGTCGTCTGGCAGCAGCCGAGCCGGGGGCTGAACAGCGGTTGGTCACCAAGTGTTTGGGACTGGCCTCAAACAAGGGTGAGGATCTCTTGGTACATGCAGCGAGTGATCCTGCACCACGCTATTTCCGGCTTCGTGCAAGTATACCTGGTCGCCTTTGGCATTGGCGTGAAATCTCGGGCTGGAAATGGAGGAAAACGGGGGAGCATATCAATCTCCTGGAGTTGCGTGCAATCTACACGGGTATAAAGTGGAAGGTGAGCAGGTCAAAGAAGTTGGGTGTGCGTTTCCTACACCTTACGGACAGTATGGTGTGCCTACATGCTCTGACTCGGGGTCGAAGCTCGAGTCGAAAGTTGCGACCAGTTCTTATGAGGCTGAATGCATTGCTGCTGGCGGCTGACCTTCATCCCCTCTGGGGTTACATACATACCTCGCAAAACCCGGCTGACCGGCCTAGCCGGCGGCCAGTGCGGCGACGATGGGGAAAGTAGGCAAAAGGCTTTTAGAAGGTCAGACAAAGCAGCAACGACAATCGCAGCGGAAAGAGTTAGGCACACTTCGGAGTCTCACCGTGTCCAGTAAGACTAGTGTTCGATATGCTTCAGCACGCACGAAGTTTTATGAATTCCTTCGAGAGAATTCACTGGAGATCCCCCGCCGACGGGAGCTGTTTGATGGCCTCCTGGCTGAATACATAGAGCACTTGTGGTCCGAGGGGGAAGGCCGAGGCCTGGCTGCGGATACGGTAGCTGGCCTGCAGGACAGTGACCCAAAGTTGAGGGGCCAGCTCCAGCTGACTTGGAGACTTTTAAAGACGTGGAACGTCAATGAAGTGCCAAACCGGGCACCACCGCTCACCGAAGCCGCGCTGGAGGCGATGGTCGGCTGGAGCTTTTTCCATGGCCATTTCGGATTTGGCGTTTCACTCCTGGTGGGGTTTTATAGCATGCTTCGCACTGGCGAGCTGACGACCCTACGAAGCTCCCACATTTTCATGAAGGCAGCGAATGCCCCAGCTGTCCTTAGTCTTGGACTCACGAAGAGTGGGAAACGTGTAGGAGCTGCTGAGTCAGTGACCCTAACGGTTGCGGTGGCCCTTCGATGGTTGTGGGCCTGGAAGCAATGTTCAAAACCACATGCTTTGTTCGTTTCATCAGTTTCAGCCTGGCGTAGGCTATTCTCCGAATGCCTGAGTGCATTGCAGTTAACCCTTTTCGAGTTTCGACCCTACTCCCTTCGTAGGGGGGGGGCGACTTGGTGGTTCACCAAGCACAATTCGTTCGATAAGTTGATGGTAGCTGGAAGGTGGCAAGCTGCCAAAACTGCCCGAATTTATTTGAACGAAAGCATGGCAGTGCTGGCGGACCTGAGACTGCCCCAGAAGTCCCTCTTACCTTTTGCCCGAGTTTTTCATAACCAAGTTTCGCCTCCACACTTGAGCACGCGGACGCGCCGCAGAAAAAGGGGGACGTGGAAGGGGGGTCTTTTTATGCCACTTTTTTCGAAAAAAGCACCAGCTTGAAGGTTTCGGCTAGGCGAAATGCTTCAAGGGGGGCAAGG